ATTTAGGTTTTACTATTTTAGGTACTCCCCAGGATCTTTTGCTGTATTTCCCCTTTTTGTTAACCTTCCCCTATTGTTTAGATTATGTTTGGTGAGGTTCGAGAGCCTCGATCTTTGGGCGACTTCACATTGTCGATCTCGCCTACTTGAGCATTATCGTAATTATAGGTGTGAGGTCCCCATGGTGAGGATTGTTTTAGATAGCTTCTTCTAATCAACTCCCTCGAATTCCCAAACACCCAGGGAAGGTCCTAGGAAGAGGGTCCATGTTCTTCTTATAAGGAAGAGCATGCTTCTGATGAGGAGGCTCAAGAGGAAGACCTTCACTTGGCCCTGGTAGGGGATAACCCCTCTAGAGCCATCTTTTGGCGTCCCTGCCCCTACTTTGAGATTTGAAGCCTCAATCTCAAGTTGTTGCGACGAGGTGCTTCAGGTCGAGTCTCCTACTAATTTAGGAAAAAGGAAGAAAAAGAGGAGCTTATCTGCCAACTCCACCACAGTGGTCCCAAAGAGGGAAAAAAAATCCCACGAGAATTATCTTATCTAACGTGCAGCGCGACTTCTACCCATATGATTGATAATTGGGCCCAAAAGCTCATTAACTTCTATGTGTTCCCCCAAAAAGTGATGTTTCCCATTCCAGAGGCCGAGGAGTGGTGTAACTCTACCATCTTGGGGAAGGTGTGTTTCTTTGTGACCTTTTTTAAGTTGGGCTCAGATTTCCAATTCAGCCTTTTATCCGTGTCATTCTACACCATTACAACATTTGTCCAACTCGTTTGTCCCCCAATGGTTGGGGACTTTTAGTAGGCTTATTCGTTTATTGAAGAGAATGCAGTCTTGAATCGCCTCTTACCCTGCTAGAGTGTCACCTCAAGTCTTCTCCTGCTCCGGGTTTCCTATATTTTGCCAAAAAGGTGAAGGTCGAGACATTGATTTCTGATCTGCCTACTTCACATAAAGGCTGGAAAGAAAGCTTTTTCTTTGTCTCTGGGGATGCTTTCGATTTGATAGGAGACCTTGAAGACATCCCTCGAGTCCCGCGTAATTAGGGTGTCCCCGTAACACTAGGAAGTCTCATTTAGATGAGACTCATGCTATTGTTTTTATTTTTATTTTCTACTTCTTCTAAATTTTTCCACCAACCTAGCTTATGTTTGGAAGATATTGACCTCTTCTTTCTGTTGAAGAGATTGCTCGAACTATTAAAGTCGAGGCTAATGGCTTGAGATCTTTTAAAGACCTAGTCACCGCTGAGAACTTGGCCAAATACAATTTTGCTCCCCTTATCCAAGCTTTTCCTTCCACTGACCCTGTTGAGATAGGGCTCAACAAAGAACTAATCCAGAAGACCATGGAGGAGAGAAAAAGGGATAAGTTAGTTAAGAAAGCCAATCTCCTTCCTTCTAAGAAGTCGAAGTTTGATCATTTCCACTCTGCCTCAAGCTCGCTTGCCAATGCATTAGAAAGCTCTAGCAATGAACCAAGAGGTTAGGTTCCCATTAAGGGAGAGGAGTTGAATGAAAAGCCTATTGATACTTTGACCGGTCCTCTCCTCCCTTCTTCTAGTGATAAAACATTATTCTCCCCTCTTCCATCATTCCTGAAGTTCCCTATTCTTCAATCTCTAAGAAGGGAGAAAGTAGAGATGCTTCAGCCTATCTTAGGCCCCCTTTCTTCTGCAACCAATTGAAATTGTGAAGGCTTTATTTGACATAGTTTCAAAGGATGAATAAAATGGGTTAATGATGATCCCCTTTTCATGGCAAGATTTCTCAAGCCGTCTACGGCTTTGCTGCGGTATGGTTTCTTCTAGGCTCCTCCTATACTCCATTCTGTCTTTTGAAGTTCCTAAAGCCTGCTCTTCTTTTTACAATCTATGACATTTCTCAAGGCTCTTGATGTAGAAGACCAAGAGTTGTTCAAAAGCTCCAAAGCCTAGGCCCTTGAATTAACCACCTACAAGGAAAGCTTGGAAGGTCTTAGTCATGAGATGGAAGATCTTCAGCTTTTTCGATAAACTCTTCAGAAGAAACTCATCTCAAGATGCTAAGATTTTTGAGTTGACTGAGGCTTTAGGTCGGGCCCTTTTTGCAGAGGTGAAGGCTGAGGCAAAAGCGAAGTAGCTGAAGGCCAAGACGAAGAGGCTCTGAGGGCTCAGCTCAAGCTATCCGACCAGCTGAAGGTCCAGGACGCGAAGATTAAAAAACTCGCCAAAGAAGCTGCAAACAACTTTTTGAATGACTTTGAAAACCTCCAAGAGTAGGTTGCAAAGTTATATCCCGACTTGGACTTTGATTTGTTTGTACCTATCTTTCCCGACCCCGAAGAAAAGAAGGAGGCTGTCAAAGCCCCTGCTAAAGGGAATTCTGAGTCTCCTGTTAGGGGCAATCCTAAGACTCCTGCTAATTCCACCGAGCACACATCAGAGCACTAATTGCTGAGCTAGAGTGATCTCCATTTAAATCTTTCTTCTGTTATGACATTGTTTTGTATTCATTTTGTAATGGAACATAACTAACTTTTCTCTTTTATATAACTACTTCTGTGCCAATTGATTGCCTATGTAACCCTCCTCATTTGCTAGAAGGCATTTCAGCCTTGCAGCAATGATGATCTACCTTTGTTCGCCCATCTTTCCTTGATTGATATTCTAAGTTCTGGTTATGGCGGCTCCCTGGATTTTAAGAAATCAATCGCTTCATAGGGAAGGCATTACGGTCTCCCTTTGAAATGGATGGGGCGAACCACATAAGTTGAGGAACTTATTCAAGGTATGAGCTAGAGAGCTCATCCTATTCTCCGAGCCGAAGTGCCTTATAAGCTGGAAAGCTTATCCAAGGCATGATTTGAGGATCTCACCCATTATCTACAATGAGAAGCTTGCATAGATTGAAAAAGTTTTCCTTTCAATATGATTTGGGGAGCTTTCTTTTTTGGCTGAGTGGGAGAATCTCAAGGTGACACTGGAAAATTGGCTTCTGGTGCACGTTTATGTTTTTCAAGGGATTTGAAGAGATGTGACTATGATAGTTATGCTTATACCAAGCAATCACAAGGCCACAATGTGCAATGTGCACATTGATTCACACGCTGATTCAATATCCTTATGACATGCGTCCTACTTATTCACTTTCATTTAATGTCTGCCTTAAATGCATTTCTAGGATGTGAAGCACCAAAATTGAAATTACTATTTAAACATTCCCTTTAGTGGACTCCCTCCATCGCTTTATGCTACGTTCTTTGAGATTCATTGGGAATTCTTTTGGCCTTCTAGAGAAGTCTTGAGTGCTTGCCAAAGGTTTCAACATGTCAAGTGAGTCTTCTTTATAGTTCACTATGGACATTAAAGAACGTCTGGTAGAGGCTAGGGCTTTCATGAAGGGTAAAAAAGGCCTCCTTCAGGATTGTAGATCTTGAGTTTTTCCTAGCTTCGGAGGCTAGTGAGCTATCAAGGGCAGATGTTTGGGAAATTTGAGAATTCCCTCCTTCGTTTGCTCGATATAATAACCTTGTCTTATAAAAGGTTTGCTTATTCGAGTCTTCCTTCCAGGGTGGCCTTGGATTTTCATTACTTTTTTTCATTAGGTTGGTTCTCCATTTCTTTGACCTTTGTCCCACCAGGCTATCAGTCGATGGGTGGGGCTTGCTAGTTTCTTTTCTTATCTTTTGGAGTCAATTTGTGTTAGAGTCCACTCCTCCCATTCCCATGTTTCTCTCCTTCTTTTTTTGGTCCCTTCTTGTTTCCCTGATTTTTATTATTTTTCGAGAAAGGATGGGTCCCCCGAACTAATGTTTGACCTTCATGTACCTCTTGAGGGTTGGCGATGTGGGTTCTTCTTCATGTCAGCGCATGCTTGGGAATTTGTCGATGGGGTGTCTTTTGACATTCGTGTGCCACTCATGTCAACAGTTCCCAGGAATTTTGGTGAGCTAAGCTACTTTTTCTTGGTCCTTTTCAGCTTTTAAACTTACCTCATTGTAATTTCTCTAATTTTTTCCTGTCTTTAGGGTGTCAAATGAGAGGCCTCCCTTGACGGCTTTTGAGTGAACCTTGTTTGCCTTGTGCTAGGGCATGTGGGATTAAGTCTTTTTGGGATCTAATATGGGTGGTAGATCCTGCCGTTCTTTGATTAGAGCCTAGTTCACTTCCCAGTGAGTTTGCAATTTGTTGCCCCTTTGATTATGGTTCCTATTGTGTTCTGACATTCCATTAATCTTTCCTTTTAGGTGCCGAAGATATGACATGTGACCAAGCTCTGGTCATAAGCATGGTGGAAAGTCATCGTCGTGCTTGAGAAGAAACTCAAATTGGTGGGGGGGGGTGATAAAAGGCCCAAGGTAACACCTTTAAATCCTAAGTTGTATGTAGTCCCGACTAACCCTCGAGGTGGAGAGCATGACCCTCCTAGGCATGAAAATGGGGGGGTCAAGGCAATGATTATGCCTGGCGAGACGAGGTAACTCTCGGCCCCGAGCACTTCAGTTTTGCCCTGTTCTCAACCCAGCCTTTTAGGCTGTGTTTAGCTGGCTAGTCTAGAGCTCATGGGTATTATTCTACCTATTGAGCTATATCTCTCTACTACAATAAGTTAAAGGGATAGGGCAATGAATGCTTTCCATGGCTTGATGACAGCAAGTCTTTAGTTCCTTATACCTGCCTAGCTTATTAACCACTTATTCTTAAACTGATTTGCCTAGTGTTTGTGTAGGAAGCTACGCCGCTGAAGCTCAAGAAATGATAAAGTTTTTAACCAAGAGGGAATTTGAGCTCACTTCAATAAGGAGCCAAAGAGCGGTGTTTCCTCCACGACCTGTGAAATTGCCCAGAGGGACCAACTGACTCAGCAGGGAAAACAATTGGCACATGTGTTAAGGGAGAATGCTCGGTTGAAGATACAACTTTCTACCTAGTTCCAAATGATCTATAAGTGGAAACCTGAGCTTTGGCTAAGAAGAAAAAATTCAACGCCCTAAATACAAAGTCTGCTAATAGATTTTTTGATGGCTTTGAGAACTTCAAAAAACAAGCTCAAGCCAAATTTTATGAGCTCAAATTGTACTCTTTCCTTCCTATTTTTGATTGGGAAACGACAGTGGCCGGAAGTGCATAGGTCACCCCTCAGTGGAAGCGGAGGGAAAGCTGGCTTGTGCTGATCAGCCGTAACTTATTTCCTTTATTTTTGTGGTTTCCTCCCTGTGTAGCTTTTCTTTCCTTAATTTTGCAATCTGTTTGTAATAGAATATCAACTTTAGTAAATACACAACTCTTTCTTTTCTATCATTGCATCTAATATGTTTGTGCCATTATATCTAGAAAGCACTTTGTGACCCACAGAGCTCATTATGGGTATAAGCCAAAGAGCTCCTTTTTCGTTGAACTCTTATAAGTTTGAAAATATTTATCGCAAGCTGGATCACTCTATAAGTCGAGAAGCTTATCACAAGAATGAGTTGAAGAGCCCATCTCCGTTTTAATTTTTAGAAGTTAGAAAGTACTTATCACGAGTTGGGTAGCTCTATAAGCTGAGAAGCTTATCATAAGAATGAACGAAAGAGCTCATATATGTTTTAATTTTTATAAGTTAGAGAATACTTACCATGAGTTGGGTCACTCTATAAGCTGAGAAGATTATTGTAAGAATGTGCTAAAAAGGTTATCTTCGTTTTAATTTTTATAAGTTTAAAAACTACTTATCGCGAGTTAAAGTGCTTTATAAGCCAAGAAGCTTATAGCAAGGATGAGCTAAAGAGCTCATCTTTGTTTTGTTTTTTTTTTTGAATGAGCTCAAAGGTCATGCTTCCCCTTTTAAAGGGTTTGTCTGCTTGAGAAATTCTTGACTTCAAGAGAATACTTTATTGATATGACTTATAAAGAGGAGAATCCATGGACTTTGAAAGACACAAAATTCCTGATAACCCAGGTTGTTATTGATAGAACTTTTTAAGGTGGCCCGCATTCCATGAGAGTGCTAATTCTTTTTCCTCTTCATCCTATAGCTCGTAGTTTTCAGGTTGAACTATTCTATTGACAATATAGGCCCTTTCCTAGTTTGACCTGAGCTTCCCATGTTTGGGATCTTTCCTTACAGGTAGAAGTTTCTTCAAGACGAGACCACTTTCTTTGAAACTTCTTCCTTTGACCCGTTGGTTGTAATATTGGGTCATCTTCTTTTGATAAGATGCTATCCTTTGTAAAGTCTCATTCCTTTTGTCATTTAAGAGGTCGAGATTCATTAGGAGAGCTTGATCATTCTCCTCGGGATTGAACAGCTAGGTCCTAGGTAAGGGAAGACCACTACCACTGTTTCGAAGGCTAACCTAAAAGGGGTTTCATTCGTAACAATTCTAGCAATTGTTTTGTATGGCCAGAGCACGATCAGAAAATGATTGACCCATAGGCTCTTTGACGCTTCCAACCTAGTTTTTAATGCCTTGGTAATAGCTTGTATGGTTACTTCTGCTTTGGCATTAGACTAGGGATAAGTTGATGTTGAGAAGTAATTTTTTATTTCTAGATCAGAACATAAACTTGTGAAGTTTGAGTAGTCAAACTGTTGGAATTTTTTCTATATTGGACTTCCATTAATTGATAGTTAATTTTTAGTTTGTGAAAAACGGGCTAAATTTATGGTCCAATGAGATGAGCCCAATATTATTAAGTGATCTATTTTGATGGACTTATGTACATCTTTTAATTGATGTAGTTGAGGTAGTTAAGTGTAAATCTTAATCTAATTGTTGCCCATAATGGGAGAACCCATTAGATTTTATTATAAATAGTATGCTAGGTTCCTTCTCCATTTTATAACCCTACATTTGTCTTGTCCTATTAAGAGCCGTCTATTGCTTTGAAGAATGAGAGGAAGACCTTGTCCTTTCATGAAATAAATTCAGAGATCGAGTATCATGACTCATACAGATATGTTTTAAATCTTATATATGATCTAAATCTTGAATTTAGGAGTTCAAATTTTCATATATGAATCATTAAAATTTCTTACATGTGGTATCAGAGCCTATTGTATATCAATTTAGAACCCAATTTTTTTTTATAATTATGTTTTTTATTTTTATAATTTGGGATCTCAAAATATTTTTGTGACAACGCGGTATCAAATTTTCATCGCCGTTAATGATTTGGGTGGATCAAGGTTACTATTTTTGTGATTAATATTCTGTGATGTTGGCGGCACTGCTTTTCTCAAAACAGTGGCTGTCAACGGTCATCATTAAATACAATTATGTACGTCACAAAAAAAAAAAAAAAAAAAAAAAAGAGGAAAAAGGTGAAAGCATCAAAGGCGGCCAGTATGTCACAAGAAAAAAGAAAAAAAAAAGGAAAAGGGTGAAAGCATGATGGCTTTCTATCATTGTTTTTGAACAAAGTGTTCAAAATTTCACTCAAGAATTATTTGACTTTTGTGTTTTTTAATAGATTATTTATTGCTATGTTTTAAGTTCTATCAAACATGGCCTTGGTACAATATCAAATACCATGTCTAGAATTTATGTTGAAACCTTTATTGATTTTGTCATATTTGTTCAACTTATTAAATTTATTCTTTATTATTTATTAATCTTATTGACAAATAGACATATGTTTTACCCATACAAATTGTTTTCTCATGTTGATGTAATTTTGATTGAATTGTTATAATTTGTAGAAGGTGTTTGTACAATTCTAATTTTTGTCCCTAGTAATTTATATGATAAAATTTGTTATGATCTACATATTATTTATTAAATATTGGTAGATGTGAATTTAATTACTTAATTTTAAAAGTAAAAATAGAATGGAGACCCGAATGCAATGATTGATAATAAGTGATCTAAAGAGATAAATATTGATTAGTACCTCATATTGATTGATCACATGATATTTAATTATTGACAATTTGTTATAAAATCCTAGTTTGAGAATTCTACGAGTTAAGATGGATGGTTACCACCAAAGCGGTAAATTCATTAAAAGTTGTAGTTTTTCTCATGTTTTTGTTACGGGATGGTCTCTAAATTATAATATATAATTACCTGCCCAAAGGGATTGTAGTGTATTGTAATTTAAGACTTGGTGGATGTCTTAAGTATAATTGTTTTGTCAATTGAGTATGTCTCTGATTACACCATTTGAGAAAATCTTATAATTTTAAGTTTGAAGACATATTAGCTTATTGTTGAAACTAATAGATTTCTCTAGTTTATTGTTGAAGTATGTTGTTAAAGAGAAATCATTTGGATGTCTGACAATGAAAATAACATGTTTATTAGATCACATATTGAGACGTTATTTTCTACTACCACATTTTAATCCATGTCAATAGGATTATTATTTTTTGTAATCATGGATTGATCCTATATCAATAAAGGATACAAAGGCTGCCATTGTTCGAAAATAATAGTTTTATTGGACCGGATCGTGTTTGAGATGTTGTCTCAAGACAATATTATTTTTTATTTGTGGCCACATTGAGTTTTGTTTGATTAGCCCGAGAGTTGTTTTTCAAAAATATATTATTTTATTTTATTTTTTAAATGACTACAATTAATGTTATCCAAGTGGGAGAATGTTTGAATTTTTTTTATATTAGACTTTCATTAATTGATAGTTAATTTTTAGTTTATAAATGAGCCCAATATTATTAAGTGGTCTATTTTAATAGACTTATGTACATCTTTTAATTGATGCGGTTGAGGCGGTTAAGTATAGGTTTTAATTTAATTGTGATCCGTAATGTAAAAGCCCATTAGATTTCGTTATAAATAATATGCTAGGTTCCATCTCCACTTCATAACTCTAATTTGGTTTGTCTCATTGAGAGCCGCCTATAGCTTTGAAGAAAGATAGGAAGACATTGCCCTTTCACGAAAGAAATTCAGAGATCGAGAATCATGGTTCATACATGTATGTTCTAAATCTTGTATATGATCTAAATCTTAAATTTAGGAGTTCTAAATTTCATATATGAATCATTAAAATTTCTTACACAAACTACTTACCATTGCTGTACACAATTGTCCTAGGGATCCCAAATTGACACACGATGGACTTCCACAAGAAATTCTTGATTTTCTACTCGATTATAGTAATCAGGGGTTCCACCTCAACTCATTTGGTGAAGTAGTTGATTGCTATAATAGCAAATTTTCACTACCCTACTCCTATGGGAAGGGGTACAACAATGTCTATACCCCATTGTTGGAAAGGCCACGGGCTCAATATTGGCGTGAGCTGCTCAGGTGGGCAATGGGGAATATTGGCATGTACCTGAAAAGTTTTGCACTTCCTCACCAATACTTTGGAGTCCTTGACTATGGTGGGCCAAAAGTAACCTTACCTCAATGCCTTGTACGCCAGTGTGCGAGCTCCAATGTGGTTTCTATATATACATTCATGGATTTCTCTTAGTACATAATTGGCTTCCTCGACTGCAATGCATCTCATAAGGGGTGTAGAGAATCCTTTCTTGTAAAGCTTCCCTTGGATTATATGAACCTTGATGCTCTACTCTTGAGCTTGGTTGTTTCCTTTGAATCTTGGGGAAGAATCCCATCTCAGAGGTAACTAATGAGAGGATCCTTCCAGCTCGTTGAAAGTTCTACTTGTAAAGCTTCTTCTTCGCTCTGATAAGTGTTTGGCTTTGTCAAATGCTCCATTGGTATCGTCCTTCTCAACTTTCCTTGATCTGTAGATGCTAATTTTGCTAAAGCATCAGCTCTGATATTTTCTGTGGGGGGAATCTGCATGACTCTTCTGTATGCACAAACTTCTTGAGCCATTCCTGCACTACCCGAAATGGGCATTTGTCGTTTCTCCTATTCTCTTATCAAGGTTGCGCTAAC